TCTCTCTGCCCCTCCCTCACTCATGCTCTGTCTCTCTCTCAAAATAAATAAACATTAAAAGATTTAAAAAAAAAAAAAAGAAAGAAAGAAACATACACTTGTTAATTAATCAGACAAGGAGAAGGGTCTCCCACTACCTAGTTTTAAGCAGATCAACAAACCTTTATGAGAGTTTTACAGCCCTTACCACTGTAATTCGTAAGTACTCTGACATTGGGGACAAACAAGGTAAAGACACATCTCCCACAAATCCTTAACTACTCATGCTTCTTACATGGATTGTGAGTTATACTGGATCTTGGAAAGACAGACTGGAAGTTAACACCGGGAGTTAGTTGAAAGGTTAGACTGGGAGTTAGTTGAAAGGTCCCCAAGCAACATTTAAAGGCTGTATACAAATTCAAGCTAAAAGCCTGTGTACAAGTTCACTTGTATGTAAGTTAACAAAACATTTAATACTGAAAGAAATCCTTACTCAAATGTAACGCCGTGTGTAAATGTGGTGTCTGTTAACAGTCCAAGCTGTAGATTCTTTTCATTCTTTACGCTTTCGTTACACCACCCTAAATTAGCCCTTTTAAATCACAGAGGCCTCTAGGTACCCAGTCTCCCAAAAGCCCTCAGAAGGCCCACAAGGGGTTATCTAAACTGAAATTGGCAGACCTGGTAGACAAAGTTAATGGAACTCTCCATTCTGGAGAAAGACCTAGGGATGATCAAACACTGAAGTCCTGTGGTCCTTAAGCATCTGCTTGAATGTAGTACTTCACAGAGGAAGGAAGGAAGGCAATAACCTGAGACTTGGAGAAGAAGCAAATATAGGCGTGGCGGTGGCTCTGGACTGATTGTACTGATTCTGAAGGGCGTCACAAAATCCTACCCAACGCTTGGAGCACCCCGCTCCTGGATCAGAGACCTGGGTCCCAAACACCTTGAGATGGAGACAGAAAAACAAGCCCTTTACCACACAACGGGCTCCTGGGCCCTTGCCCTTGCCCCACCCCAGCGTCATCACCTCGTGGGCGCACAGCAAGCAGCTGTGTGGCCACACGCCCGGCACCGTACATCTGGCAGGCTGGGCTCCAAGCCTCCGAGCGCAGCACTTCCTGGTTGGTCCGGGATGCTGGTCCCCTCGCGCCGCCATCCCCGCCATCCCACGGCGCACGAGAACCCCCGGGCGCGAGAGGACACGGGGGCACCAGCCCCACTGCCCCGACGAGGCCGTTGGTGCACCCTGAGGGCACGCCCCCAGCCTCCCCTGGCGCCCGCGAGGCTCTGCGCTCCAGGCAGCGCCCGCCCTGGCAAAAGCACGGCCCGAAGTTTGTCCGCCTCTACTCTGCAAGAACCGGGCCCGAAGGCGCGCACAGGAGGCCCCGGGGCCTCCCGGGAGGCCGGTCCCGCGGGGCCGCCGGGCTCTGGCGCCCGCCGCCGACGCCTCTGCCAAGGTCCCGTCCAAGTTGGGCGGGGAGCGGCCAGCTGCCCGGGGCCGACGGGAGGAGGGACGGAGCGCGAGAGTAGCGGAAACCAGACGCCCGCGGGAGCCTGGCGCGCCCGGCCGCGGCGCGGCTCCTACCTGTAGGGCGAGGGCGGCCGCGGGCACCTGCGCGGTGACGGCGGATTCTCGGGCCTCGGGCGCAGCTGGCACAGCTGGAGGCGCGGGAGGAGGGGAGGAGGAAGGGCCTGAGGGGGCACCGCGCTGCGCCGCCGCCCGGAACTCGCCGCCCGGATTCGCCCTGGCCTGGCAGGGGTGGGGCGAGGCGGTGCCGGGTCCGGGTGCGTTGCCGCTCAAGCTGGCCGCCACGGCTGGGCCGAAGGGCTCCAGAGGCCGGGCCTCTGTCCTCCTCCCCGTTTCTTCTCTCTTCTCCCAGAGTCTCGTGACTCAACCTTATCAACCTATGGAATGTTCACTAGCATTATTGCTATTATTCTCAGGTGCTCTTAAGCCACCAAGTGCCCAGGCACCCGTTCCAGGAGCTTTGCCTGTGTTATCATACCCTCGCCTGCTGGAGCCGGTAGCCACGATTGGCCCTTTTGCAGGTAGGGAAACGCGGGTCGGAAAGAGGAAATAATTTGCTTGAGGTGACATAGTTAAGAAGTAGGAGCCTTGTTGACATCACCTATAAAGCCTTCTTCCAACGTTATTGCTAATGATAGGTAAGGAAATTGAGCCTCAGGAAAGTGAAGTATCCAGCCTGATGCCACCCAACTTAGAACACAGAATTCTGGAATTTGTGTCTTGATGTCTCTAAAACTGAAGCTGAGTATAATTCAGAAATCTTAGCATAAAATAGTAAGTTGGGAATAAAATGGAAAACTCCCAATCTACCCATGGAACTGTGCAAATAGGGCAATTTTTATGTTTTTAGTCCACCTAGAATAAAAATCTTAAGAGAAAGAGAACCAGTTATCTTGTGGCTTGACCAACAGGCCTTTTGGAATGTAGTTTTGAATATAGGCCAGCTCCAACCTCATTACACAATATTGCATTCTGCCAAGGCGGAGGGAAGCAATCGGCCCAGCATACACCAAACTGTTAATAAGGATGGCCACTTTAAAGCACTTAGTGGATATTGCAAAGCTGAGGCTGGATGAGTTACATAATTTCTTACTGCAAACATGGAATTACATGAAATGAAAAATGTCGTATTCCAGTCCAGGGGAAGGGGAGGGGGGTGAAATTGCAGTCTGGAACTCTTTTTTCCTGTAACCTATAGTTGCTCATCCCTCCCTAGACCACATTTTTTTCTCTTGAGCACATCTTTTCCTAATGATAGAAGAGTCACGAAGCCGTCACTCTTTCCTTGTTGACAGAAATGATTGATGTCTTTTAAATCCTAGGATACTGACAGCTTTTTACAATTAAACACATGGCTCTCTGAGCAAACAGAGTATTGCCTAAGAAGAGTTTGGCAAGTGTAAGACAAGCATGTTACTGAAAGGCTGAATATTCTTTCCTCCTCTTCTTTCTCAAGTTTTATTAGTCACAGATGATTTGGTAAGTGTTCTACACACAATTAACTGCACTCTTACAAGCTTGTCTTTAGAAATTGTAATGCTTTTGATTGAGAAGCAGCAGGCTATAAAATTGCATCCCAAATTCCTAAGTGTCATCATTAAAACATTTGGCACTGACCTACAACAATAGGTCTTCCTATTAACTATAATGAGAAATAAAATTATTGAAGTGCCCTCACAATAATTGAATTTCTGCTTCTCTGTGCTGGAGGAATCAAACAGTAAAAGGCCATATGTTGTTGATAGACAAACATATGCTGTGGACTGCCAAAGAGAAGTTTTAGGTGTACTGTGATTCTGTATGTAATTATTTCTGTTTTCCCGAGAGGTTTGCTGATTGTTGGTTGTTGCTATTATTTTTCCAAATCTTGCCTGTCTTCAGAGTTGTCAAGAAAAAAGTGACTACAAGATCCTATTATATATCCATCTGGATACACATTTGACATTTTTATCAAATGATATTCTAAATTCTAATTTTCATCTTTTCTTCTCAGTATAAAAGTGATATATGCCCATTTTTAATAATTTCCACATGTATATTTTACAAAAATACAAAGTTTTGGAGATAACAGAAAACAAATTTTTTTTATTGAAATTATCTATAATCCCCCCAACATACCCATTGTGTGTTGGTACATTTCTTTTCTGTTATTATTTGCTGCATTTCTTTTTTGTTCATTTTATATGCCTAAACAAATGTTCATTACCAAATTATCATCATGCTGTACAATTCAGAATCCGCCTTGTCTCACTGAGTATTTTTTTACTGTCTCTAATTTTGTAAATATGATTTTTAATGGTTGAAGAATAATCCAATCATTTTTTTTAAATCTCTTCACCTACTGATGGCTTTTAGGATGTTCCCAGGCTTTGGGACAGTTTACAAACATTCTGGAATGAACATTGTAAATACCAATCTTTGTCGAAATCCCTAAATTCTTGAGATGGAGTCCTAAAAGTGGAACTACTGAATCAACATTTATAAACATTTTCAAAGATCTGTGAGATGCTGTAAAAACACCTTCCACTATTAAGTATTAGTTGCTTATATTTGAAAATGTGATGGATCAAAATCACATCTTGTTTTAACCAGGACTCATTCAACAATCAATAATGATGAACACTATTTTTTTGTGTTTATTATTTGTGCTATTTACTGACAATGATATATTCATGTCCATTTCCTGTTTTTTATATTATTTCTTTTGTTAGTTTTCATTAATGCTTTTAATAGAAACATGTTATGTGTATATACATATACATATTACTTATAGAATACACTATAAAGTATAATGAATGCTAATACACATATTATTTACAGATTGTTCTTTAAAATTTGCATACAGTTGTGTTCCCCTAGATTTTCCCTCATGGTGTTTTTATATGTATACTGCTGTCCAAATCATCTAGGTCATTTTGAGATGCCCAGCATCTATCATCTTTTCTGATAGTTCCATTTTCTTATAGAGAATTAGCCCTCCCCAAATGTGTATAGTCTCAGCAAGAGAGCAATTTTGTGCCGCAGTCTCCAAAGCAAAGGGCAGATCCTTCCTCCCTATTCACACCACCACTTTATTTACCTCAAAGGCCAGGTGGACCATACGAGGAAGCAGGTGATGTTTGAGATGGGACCCACTGAGCAAAGGCAGTTGTAGCCCCAGCATCAACTTGGCCCTGACCCCGGTGACCCAGTGAGAGACAGTTTCCTACTTCCTGATTTTTTTTTGCTTTTAACCTTCTGCACTTCCTCAGTATCTGCTGCTCCCAGCCTTGCCTTAAGTCTATGAAGCCCCGGTACTCTTTTCTTTCAGACAGCCAAGGGTCTGCATCCATTGTTTGCCCCCAGTAATCCTCACTGACATAACCTGCGGGACTTCTGTGTCTTTCGGTCCACCTTCCGTCCCCTGGTTAGCAACCATTTACTTCGTTTGTTAATTTGTAAACGTTTGATTCTTAATGCTAATTAACCACAGCACACAGCTACTCTGAAAACACAGAGTACGGAGGAAGATATTTTATCATTGATCACCTGCTGACATAAGTCAGGCATAATAACAGTGACAGAAAGATGAGAGAACAGTGTACTTATCAAGACTTAAAGTTTTTAAAAACACATGACCTAATTAATTAATTTAATTTAATTAAAAAATACATGACCGTGTCTATGGCCAAAAATCTCAAGAGAGAATGAGGAACAGAGTGCATATTGCCAAAGTATATTAAAGCTTTGTGTCTCTATATCTTCATTTTAGCTTTCTGTGGACCATTGATGTTTTATAATTTCTCCCAATAACGTTCAGCTTGTAAGCTATCTAGTACATGACTCTTTAAAAAGGGGCCACATTTGACGCCTACAGCCCCAACCAGGGATGAATCTTCTCAGTTACCCTTAGCCAGTCCCTTTGAAGGGTTTTCTGATCCAACAGTCATTCAGTAAGTCTAATAACTTGTTTAAAATATCTCTGTATTTTCAGTGTTTACTTGTTGTTTGAAATGATACTCATTTTCATAGATTTGTACATACATACGAGATAGGATGATTATTAAATAAGAAAACATATGAAATAGTTTGGAAGAGTGAATATTTGTTTAGAACAAGTGTATGTCAATTGATTGCTACAATTGTGCGAAAGTAACTTTGGGAGCACCTGAGTGGTTCAGTGGATTAAGCATCCCGCTCATAATTTTGGCTCAAGTCATGATCTCACTGTTCATAGAATTGAGCCTCCCCTCAGGCTCTGTGCTGACATCTCAGAGCCTGCTTGAGATTCTCTCTTGCCCTCTCCCTCTCCTTCTGACCTTCCCCAGCTCGCTCTCTCTCACGCTCTCTCTCAAAATAAATAAACATTTAAAAATAAATAACTATAAAAGCATCTGTACTTGGTTTCCAAAAAAAATCCATAAATTGCACAGTAAAAAATGATCTCAAAAAAGTAATGGCTCTAGGAACGTATAATTAAAAAAAAAAACTTTTTTTTCAAAGCTATTTTATCCAAACATACTCCTGTATTTTTGACTTTCACACTCAACATCAAATTTAAATATCGATCCATTCATACATCCTGAAAAACCACTATGCTGCAGGTACCGTTATAGTAGCTAAGGATATTGCATGAACAGAAGAAGCCTCTGCTTTTCTGTAGGAAGACAGACCTGAATGCAATATAGAGGAGATGATGGGTACGATGAAAAAACATAAACCAGGGTAAAGGAAAAAGCTTCCAGGGTGGGGTTGGGGAAATTGGCAGTGAAGGCCTCTCTGATAAGATAACCTTGGAGCAGAACAAAAGGAGAAAGCCTGTCAGATGTCTGGGCAAAGAGCATCTAGGCAGAGGGACTAGGAGGTAAGAGACGGTGAGCTAGAAATGTGTTTGGTGTTTTCATGAAAGGGCAAGGAGGCAAAGGTGAATAGAGTGGTGTGAACAAGGAGAAAAGTAATAAAACTGGAATCGGGCGACAGGGAACAAGTTTCTAAAAGGAAGAAGTTTGAATTTAATGTTAATTGATGTGGAAAGCTTCAAGCCAAAGAATGACATAATCTAACTTGTTTTAGAAGGACCATACTGATGACTATATGGAG